TAGAGATAGATCAGGATAACCTGAGCCACTCTAACTAGAAGCTTTATCAAAAAGTGTTTGTTCCTTCCTGTCAGGATGGAGACACACCGCTGATCAAAGCCACTAAGATGAGAAACATCGATATCGTGGAGCTGCTGCTGGATAAAGGAGCCAAAGTGTCGGCTGTGGACAAGGTGGGCAAAACCGAACAGTTCTGACCAGAAGTTTTTACCCTTTAAAGGCATAAAATGCCTCCATTTTCCCATAGGAGACAAAATATTTCCAGTTTTTTCCTTTTTGCCAAGAAAGGAAAGTTTCTAAAGATCAACGAATGACTTCCCTCTTTGTGTTGTCCTGTTTGTCCAGAAAGGAGACACCCCGCTCCACATCGCCATCCGCGGCCGCAGCCGCCGCCTGGCCGAGCTGCTGCTCCGCAACCCCAAAGATGGCCGCCTGCTGTACCGACCCAACAAGGCCGGAGAGACGCCGTACAACATTGACTGCAGCCACCAGAAGAGCATCCTCACCCAGATCTTCGGGGCTCGTAGGTTCCTGTTCGGGTTCAGCCCAGGTTACTATGGAAACACTGAGCTAACCGCATCATCCCCCCTCCCCCACAGGTCACCTCTCCCCCACAGAGACCGACGGCGACATGCTGGGTTACGACCTGTACAGCTCGGCTCTGGCCGACATCCTGAGTGAACCCACCATGCAGCCGCCCATCTGCGTGGGTCTGTACGCCCAGTGGGGCAGCGGGAAATCCTTCCTGCTCAAGAAGCTGGAGGGTGAGTCCGCCCCCCCTCTGACTGACCTCCCCCCCCACACACACACATCAGGACTCAACACCCTGCTCTCCTCCTCTTCCTCCCTCTGCTCAGATGAGATGAAGACGTTCGCCGGGCAGCAGATCGAGCCGCTGTTCCAGTTCTCCTGGCTGGTCGTCTTCCTTTCTCTGCTCTTTTGCGGCTCCGTCGCCGTCGTCCTCGGCTTCACAGTGGACGCCAAGCTGGCCATGGCGGTCTCCCTCAGCCTGCTGGCTCTGCTCTACCTGTTCTTTGGTGAGTCCTGACCTCTGCTGCTCTGCCCGGCTGTTCTTCAGCGCTGGGATGTGAGCAGATTTTCCTTTTCTGCAGTGGTCGTGTACTTTGGCGGCCGTAGGGAGGGTGAAAACTGGACATGGGCGTGGCTGATCAGCACCCGTCTGGCCCGTCACATCGGGTACCTGGAGCTGTTGCTAAGGCTGATGTTCGTGAATCCGCCGGAGCTGCCGGAGCAGAGCACCAGAGCTCTACCTGTCAGGTAGCGCTGATCAGGCCCTGGAGGAAATAAAGGGGAAGCTGCTGTTAGCTGATGAGGATGTCTCCCCCGCAGGTTCCTATTCACAGACTACAACCGTCTGTCCAGCGTCGGCGGAGAGACGTCGATGGCCGAGATGATCGCTACGCTGTCAGACGCCTGCGAGAGAGAGTTTGGTTTCCTCGCAGCGCGTCTGTTCCGAGTGTTTAGGACCGAGGAGACGCAAGGTGAGACATTCAGGACGTCACAGATCTACTGCAGAGATCAGCACGGTGTTCCCCAGGGTGCTATACTCGGCCCCCTGCTTTTGGGTTTCCATATTTAAGAGATATTATCTTAAGGGTCATTAAAATTCACCAAATTTAGTGATTGATTGACTTTATTGATCTCACAGTGGAGAAATGTACTCGTTACATCAGCTCAAATAGTCTAAGAAGAAGAAGGTGTCTCGCGAGCTTTC